GCTATTGCTTTTGAAAGTAACTTTTTTTCTTAAACTGTCTCTACCCAACTCCGATCAATATAATATATGCTTCAGAGTTGGTTAGACACAGTTCAAGGAAAATGTATCATTATTCTCTTAATAAATTTTTAATAAACAACAATTGATAACTGAAACTTTCTGAAGGTCACTCAGGAGGATGACTTTGACAACATATGTCAAAGTGAAGGTCATCGGTCATTTTACTTATCAATACTACTAAAGTACGATACTTTTTTTAATAATAACGTTTATTCAAATGGCGAACCCCACCCAAAACCTTCACAATACTACTCAGGGTAATGATATTGAGAACATATTAAAACATCATCGAAATCGAAGGTGACTCCTTTATTGTAAATACTTACTAGGGGGTCTCTTTTCGTATGTATTTTTGATAGTTTTGTGGCGGGAACTTGTAGCATTTCGAGTACGCTGCAATTTTTACGAAAATGTTTGTAGGGTGTTTATGGAAGTTTGTATAATTCTAGGGTAACTCATAAAATGTGGAATTGTGTAGATATTTCATAGTTATTTCAATGAACGGTTTTCTTAGATGTAGAAAAAGAGAATGTCTATGAGCGAGATTTTAATTTATTATGTACGACTACAGTTAATCTGCTATTATAGGCCTACAGTATAATACACAGTCAAGGCACTACACTTATCCTCTACTTCCAGCATCGAAATTGTGGAATGGTTCCAATCAAGCTGTATTATAATAATTTCTATTTACTAATTATTGTTGATTACTAGACTGCGGATTTCTATGCAAAATATAATTTTATGAAGTGATTTACAAAGAGCGGAGTAAAAATAAAAAGTTCTTTCCTTACTCAGGGATTCTATTGTGATAAAAAAACAATAACAAATTTATCGAACTCCAACGAATTTTTATTCTTTGCTATATTTCACATAATTCTGCATCCTATAAATGCATAAAATCCGCTGTCTATTGATTACTAATTAGTAATTCCATAAGAAAAGACTTTACTTCCCAATTGTCTACTTAATCTTTTGACAAATGTCTTAGTTTATTGTACTGCATTCAGAATTACCAGCAAGCAGAGAATGGAACATTAGAATTTTATAATTTATTTTAACTGTCTATAAATCGTAAAAAGTTACAGTGATTAACATAAGTTTTCTAAATATACCAGTGCGATTTAACAAACCTCATATATGTACGATTGAAAAAATGAGGCACGTTTCGTAAAAATATTGGTTTAACCTTTATAATAATCATATGTATATACAGGATGTTCACACTGTTACTAGCCAGGATTTTTCTCGCAAATAGTAAATATTACGAAAAAAAATAAAATAGGAATAGGTTTTACAGCATTCTATGACTAATATAATACGAAAGTGACCTTCAATTTTTTATACGGAATGCTGTATATTTTTTTATGTTGTATAAAAGCGTGTGAAAGAAACATTTTCAATATTTCATACCAATATTTTTACAAGTATTCCTCATTGATACAGCTTAGCTCATTAAATATGACTGATTTTTTGTTTTTATTCACTATCAGAGTGTTTACTTCTGCTTCTACACCTCTGGATTTCTTTTTATGAGGCACTGTGGAAGATATCGTTTACGATACACCGCCCGGCGATATAAACGATTTGAAAAGCAAGATAACGCAAACATGTGCATGAATATCTCGGAAAACATTGGTAGAAGCTACCAAAAATGTAATTTATAAAGCTGCAATGTGCATGCATGCACAAATAAAGAATAGTTGTAAACTGTAAACACATTGGTACGAAATATTCAAAATGTTTCTTTCATTTCTGACGTTGTATGGTCTTGAAGGTTATTCTATATACATATAACACATTAGTAAATTCGTCTTGACACATATTTCCTTACGACGTACATAAATATCCAACATTTAGTTTAAAAAAGTAAAGGTCACCTTCATTCTTAGAAAAATATTGCAAACATAAAAAATTGATAAACGTTATTAGATTGGTTATAGAAAGCTGCAAAACTTTCACACTAATATTTACTTCCGGAAAAACGCTGGCTAGTAATAGCGCTAGTAAGATCCTGTATAATGAAATTAAAAATTCCATAAAAAAGTTACTTTAGTCAAGGCAAAAAAATACAGAATAAAAGAATGTTAAAATACCATCAAGTACATAAATTGGTAAAAAGGTACATCAATACCATCTGATTCACATGTACACATAAAAACTTGAAAAAAAGACTAAAACCTCGAAAATGGGCTGAAAACTCGTAATTCCGTTGAAATCTCGAAAATGAAGTGAGAACTTAAAAGTGAGTGCGAAACAAGAAATTGCGCTGTAAAGTCGAAAACGAGCTGAAAAATCAAAAAGGTGCGATAACTTGAAAATGTGGTGGAAACTCGAAAATGAGTTGAAAACATGGAAAAGTACCTCATTATACACATTAACGTCTAGAATCCACCCTGCGAAAATGCCCCACATTTTTGTTAACACTCTGTATCTACAGCGATAAGTAGACTGCCCATGTTTATGCAAATATAGACTTTTGTGAATTGATTTATAAGGTTGAAGTCAAATAGCAATTCATGTTGCATGTTAAAAGGATTCTATAAAATGGAACAGAAAATATCAACCTCGATACACTTTATTTAAAATTTAACTGTATTGGATTTTACACGATCGTGTATGCGACAAATGTATAAAATTCACAGTCCAGCGATAAAAGAGAAATTGATGTGGTACTAGTACGGTCTGAGTGACAGGTGTGCATTAGTCTAACCATTATTTATTATTGAGTTGTTTGGAATGTTCGTAGCTGTTTTTCATGGCAGAGTTACAATCGATTATTTTCAATTCGTATCATATTCTTATATATCACTCTTTTCACAAATTCTTTCTACTTTGCAATTAATTTTATAGTCCAGTTATATAACTTCGATTATACTGCTTAAAAGAACTCTTCAACCTGCTTCTACATGGATCTTATTTTCGATGTTTTTTCTTGATACACAGTATGCTAGCAATATAAATGAATAATCATCTGACAAGGCAAAGTCTAATTAATTGGGTATACATTATAAAATCTTCCAGAGTGGCGTATTTTTTTTTTTTGCAAGTTTGAGAGAACGCGATGAAAATGACCTTCGTGCTTGTTCATACGTATCGTCAGTGTTTCTCGCATAAAACGAGAAAGAACGAGTAACATATACAGCAAACACATTGAATCGACACCTGGAAAATACTACGTGTTCACCAGATCAAACTTTTCCTTCGTTCAGTAAAAAGGTAACGAAAATACTGTCCTTGAAATGCCACAAACTTTCCGAATGATCCAATACTTTAAAAGTCATATTATTCATAAACAATATAAAATTGCATTTCAATAAATACCTCCACCAGTTCATGTTGGACTTAGGCTGGGGAAATGAGACGCGTATCGTGTTCTGTCTCGCGGGTAGTTCCACGTCCATGTCTCGGGGACACCTCACGAACGGCCGCGGCATGTCTGGAGCAACAAAGCCTGTTATTAAACATGCGGTATTCGCTGAAATGTCCAGAGGAATTATTGCTCTGAAACTATCACGAGACGGGACGTAACGTAACACCGAGGTGGTATATCCTTACATCACACGGAAATTATCACGTTCCTTGGAACTGTCTTCGTGCTCGTAATCAAATTATCGACTACTCGGTAAATTGCTGTAGGGCTCAATTACCACGGCGTTCCCTTTCACGTCAACGCTGTAAACTGTCCTCTAACACTGTACGCAGCTACCTTCTTACTGTGAACATAATTGTGTGCCACGTTGTACCCGATGATCGTTTTTCAAGGTTAGAGGTATTCCTAGTTTTAGACATCCAACAGATCCACTCTAATAACACTAATTACAACCTGTCTTCACCTCGATCGAATTCAAATCGACCAGAAACTACAGATTTGTGAATTTGTACTGTATTCGATTACTACAATGTTAATGCCTATAAAACATATCTGGACCCCAGGGCCAGACTGTTTTAAGGGCTCATGCTCAGTCAGAAATTTTCCAAAAATCGATTTTTCATTTTCTACATTTTCTTTAAGTACAACATCTCGAGAATATTCTGTGCAAGTTTCAAGGTAATCCAATTAAAAATGACAGAGTTACAGGCGTTAAATAATGAACATTTCATATAAGTGTAAGCTTGACTTGAAACTTTAAACGCGTTTTTCTCGAAACTACATTTTTCAAATCGGTGATCAATATTTCTCGAAAACTACTGTGTCGATTTACATGAAGCCTTTTGCGCCTTATTTCAAATCAGAAAAATTTGTCCTTGAACGAAGGATTCTTTTGTTCGTTCCATACTTTTTTTTTAATTGACCAAAAACGAGTGACTTTTTAGGTGAAAATCGCACTTTTTCAGGAAAACGTCCGCTATTATATTCCTAATCAATATTTCGAAGAACCCCACGTTCAAGGACAAGATTTGTTCTTCCAGTACATAAATCTTACTGAATTTTTAATTTCAGATAAACCGTTACGAAGTTACAGTGATCACGGCAGACCACTTTTTGTGAAGAGACATCCGGGAGATCGCTGATCATTTATTTACTAATAAATATTTTTAAATAAAAAAATTACCTTATAATCTAGAAACTGCAATCTTTGAAAGACAAACACATTTTTTTAAAAAGGTCTTATAGTTTTCCAGAAAAAAATTCCCAACGAACACTCTTTTTTCGGCCTCCTGACTGAGCATGAACCCTTAAGTCACACGTTTCAAACTTTAGAAGAGAGCAAATGGAAGGTACGGAAACCTTATAACTATAGAACCGTTCGGTAAGAATTCAATGAGAAACAATCAATACCTTCCAACTATTGAAACAACTTAAGATAGCTCTACATTGTTTGACTCAGGAGAACATATGACATTGGCTCGTTTCCATATTTGGGAGTGAAATCACTCCTCGAAATTGATAAGAAAATATACAGAAGCTCTTATTGTTAGTTTAAAGAATATTATAACATTGTGTTGAATAAAACGATATAAATTAATTTACGTCCGTGTATCGTACTGTTTTCCTGCTTTTAAACCACTGTACGTCGGTATCTATCCAATGGCACTTAATAAAATATACATATAGAAGAGAGCCATTACAGTGACGTTTGATTATAAATAATTACTTCACGGGATGCCATTACAGTTGCGCATAAAATTAATTACATTCTTGTACAGAACAATGATAGTTCGATAAACGGCATTTAACGCACTGAAATTCGTATCGTCGTTTGTTAAATAAATGATTACAGAAAATGGAACTCGTTACGTGGCGAGAGATGATTCGAAAAGAAATTTTGCCCGGTGATTCATAATGTAGTTAATGTACTCGTTTAACAACGAAGCCTGATGAAACGTAAGTGAACCGTGGCGGTTGCAGCGAGAATTCTTACCCTTGTTAGTTGAAATAACCAACGAGCATTGCGGGAAAAGAAGAATGGGGTGTTGACGGTAAAAAGGCGGAACAGCTGAAGACAACAGAAGGGAGGTCGAGAAATGAAATGTGAAAAAAGAAATAACGAAAACGCGTCCCTGTAAGCTCGTTAAGGCGTGGCGTTAACGTACGGCGTCGTTAGCAAACGGCCTTTACGCTGAAACTTCCTATTATTAAAAGCTGTTTAGAGCGGCCGCGTGACTAATTAAACGTGTTCAAAGGATTTTCGGTGGTAAATAATTGCCACCGACGACGATCTTTCTTCTCTATCGCTTGCAAAAACCACCTGCTGGGCGACAACTTGATTCCCAGCCACGTTCTGCTTTTCCTTGAATAAAAATCGACCCATTTTCCATCTGAATCATGATTTTACTCTCTTAACGAGAAGTATCTTTTTTTTCATACATAACGCAGGGGACAGTCAACCTGTTGCCAGGGATTTAACAGTTGATTGTAGTAATTAATTAACTAGTAAACTAGTTTTGTAACTTTACTGATGAAATTGAATTTAATTTGTTCCGATAGTGTTACACTTTTTAAACTGCCAATCGATAAGTAAATAAATAGTAAAACACATTCTGCAGGTATCAGCATGCCTGTAAAGAGAAGAGAGTCTTCTTTCATTTTTCGTATATCATTGAGTATGCTGATATTTTTTACATAAAATATTATGTACTGAAAAACAAAATATTATAAATGCTGACAATACGTTTCCTTGCCTTTTCTTCTTTCTTCTGCATTTAGTCTTTAACTCATTGTTTACTGCTTTGTAATAATTTTTACACACCTGCAACACATCTTTCGACTTTTCCATCCTTTTTTCAGATAATTTACTATTAATGTGGCAGTGAAATGTGGCAATTGTCGAAGCGCATTTACGCTTAGTGTTAGCAACAATACATGGTAGAAGAAGTGTAATCCGCTAAGTGGTTATTGGAATTTTTTGAATGCCAAAGTGTAATTTTCTTTAAAGATGTCATACGAATTCCTTTTTGTAATAGTATTTTGAAATTCATGAAAAAATTCAATCATACCGGTAGACATGAAGATCAATTTCGAGGTAGTGAACAATGAATCCGCACACGACGAAAAATAGCCGAAAGTTAGGAAAGCTGCGCGTAGAGAAGTGCGAAAGGAAAGTTCTCAGAAGACATTCCACTCAAAGTGTAAATATAATTTTGTCTATCCTATTAAAAAATTAAAAAGACTTTAATTTCAATTTAACACATCGATATCTTAACGATATTATTAACACATCGAAATATCGATAACATATCGATTTTTATCCATAACGTTGTCGATAGCAGCAACTCTAATAATATAACGTGAAGTTTCATGACTCAGGATTGATTTAATATAACTCTGAGAGATTACTGACAGTAAAAAGATTAGAGAAAGGGCGTACCGGAATGGTAACGAGGATCGGTCACGATCGATTCTTGAATACAAGTGGGTTCCTTCCCGTTCCATCGGTCGCCAGCCATGCAATACCTCGTGTGCGGTCCTTCCAACCTGAAACCCCTTCGGCATCGTATATGACATCTGGCTCCAACGGGATAATCCACTGCCCCGGAAGAATGACCGGGACATCTGATCTGGAATAAGAAAAATTTCAAAAATACAGTGAACGTCCGGGACCAGATACTTATAAATACATCTTTCGTTCTCGTGCAGATAACCAGGACAGACGATGCGACATTGGGAATAAAAGTATGGCTTTGCAGTTGATGCTTCAATAATTCTATTTTTTTAGCATAGTAATTAAACCATTCGATTAATTCAGCCACTCGAAATAAGGGGTGAAAGACAAGAGATTTGAGTTGATAGATTGCCAGTCCTATCCATTGTTTTCAGCTGTTCACAGGACAAAGTGATTAACCTTCAATTTTTTAATTTTTTCACATTTTAGTTGTGAAGCACTTGATTGGTACTTAATTTTGTATATGTAAATATATACAAAATTATTTTACATATTATATATACTATTGATATTTAAAATAAGTACCTTGATCATTTTTATGGAGTTAATCGCTTTGGCATAGAAACGACTAATTTTGTGGATATCGTTCGAAAGTAGTTCGTTAACTAAATTTTCGGTTAAAACTAAAAAAACAGCACAGAACTTGCATATTTAAGCACCTCCATGTGTTTTATGTAATACATTTTGTTGTACACAAAATCAATTTTATCCGTGCCGTGTAAAAAGATTCTGGTAATTGTTTCGATACACGTGTGGGTATACAAATAACAACTATCGTTGCGCAATTAATAAATTCTTAAATACAGTACAGATTTATGGTATATTTTTTTAGAAATAGTGTGTGTAAAGAGTTCTCAGACTACCTCAATAAAACCTCGAGTATTTTGACTTTTAAGGTACTTTAATGTTATCAATTTTGTAACACACATCTTTCCATTTTCTGCACGAAATTTTGAACACCTCGTTACTTCTCTCTCAATAACAAATAGGGATTTTTAACTTTTAAGAAAGAAACAAGTCACCTGAGGCTTAATCTAGGAAATTAATTTTACTTTGCTAACATTTCGTGAGTATACATCTGGTAGTCAACCTGTTAAATAAATTATACAGGGTGTATCACTGAACTTTATCGACTGAAACTTTTTTGTTATGTATAAAATTGCAGGAAAATGTTTCGTACAAAATTACATAGTATTGTGGAGGCCGATAAATAGTCACATTTGTTTTATTTTCTTGGTATGGGTTACTACCAAGGACACATCCCCAGGGCAAACATTTTATCGTTCAAATTGGCATGCATTTATAGAGAATTGAAAATTCTTAAGTTGTTTTTGCAAAAAAAAAACGGTTTTCATGAAATAGAACTGCCCTTCAAATTTCGCCACTCGACACATACTTTCTACGACTACGTATAAACTAATCGTCGTATCCGAAACCATTCAAAACGAAAATTACTCATTTTTAAAAAGAAATTCACCCCGATCCAAGGATTAAAAAATTTTGTGTTTTTTGTTATTGGAGGACCAGTACAACTATATTGCAATATTAAAGGTACTATCATTTCATCACACTTTTATTAATAGTCGACTTTGTTCCTCTAAATGGAATGCTATATCCTTTTTTCAAGGTCACTAAAGGTCGTACAGAGAACATTTTTTATTTAATTTCCAGTGTCATTGCAAAAAAGCATTCGATCCGATTTTAGATCTTGTGCAACGCTCCACTTGTTTATCAGCATTATCCGTACAACCTTTCAGTGATCTTAAAGAATTTATTGTTGTAGATCATTGAATTCATATTTAGTGTAACTACTAAATGTACCGAAAAAAAATATAGAATTCCATTAAAAAAAAATGGAGTTAGTTTTCGTATTTCATTAACCACTTCCAAGAGAATAAAACTATTGCCACCATTCATCGGCCCTCACTATGCAAGTTTTGTAGGAAATATTGTCATGAAATTTTCAATATGTACAGCAGAAACATTTTAGTCGACAAAGGTAGGTGAAACACCCTGTAGAGAGGGATTCACAAGATATGTCACTAATAGTTTGCTTTCTGGATTACCAATTCGAGAACGTTTTTTGCACACCGTGTACAAGTACAAAGTCAACGCTAGTAGATGAGTATTTAAGTACATTTAGTGCAACAAATTGTTACGCACTTCAGCGTGGAGCGGCGGTTCCATGGCCCGACATCTTAATTCCGCTGAAACGCAAGTTCTCTCGTCGGAAGCCAACACCAAGTCACCGTTGCACGTACAGTAGTAGCTTCCGGCTGTGTTAACGCATTCACCGTTGCAGCCCCCGTTACGGTTCAAGCACTCGTTTATATCTTGGCACTGGCTTCTGTTTCTAGAGAACAAAAGGCCACGAGTTTGTTTAAAGACATTTCCACGCCAATGTCTTTGGAGTGTGTCACCAAATGGTTCGTTTAATTTTTATCTTAATTTTGAGCACTGATAAGTTGGTTCACCGGAATCATGTATTAAGGTATTTCAGTCTCGTAAATATTTGGAACAAAGGAAGATTGCAATCTGCATAATATATTTTCTATATGGTTCTACTTGTTGCACTTAAGTAAAGTGTAAAATATTAATAACAATTATCACAATTATAATAATTAAACAGTATTTTTATAAAAAATGATTATAAACATTGTTACTTCGATGCAATCGTTATCTTGAATTGGAATTGTAAATCTTGGAACACGAAGTAAAAATGGTCTGACATGCTACTACATAGTATAATTGTAAAATTAATATTTTTTGTTAGAATGACTGATTGTAAGGTACTAATGTTCAAAATTAAGAGCAACGCATTATTTATGTAAGCTTTTTTCATTCTAAAAGTGTTTTATCTCACTCCATAATGAACCCTTCCATTCTCAAATTATTGAAAAACTAAAAAAAGATTTTATTGTATTTTTGTCTATAATACATGGCATACAAATAATTTACAAGAGCATTTTGAGAATTTAAAGCCGTTTAATGCTACTTTTCATTCGCTGCAATTTGGCAACTTTCTTACTTTTATCACAATTATGTTTAATAATTTACATTACAAAGTGGTATTATATATAACTACAACCCATTGTTCTTACGTTTCATCAGTAAACCCGTTTGTAATATTTGAAAGAAATTAAGCCGTTATAAGCTTTTATTCCATTGCAAATAATGTCTTACACTTAAATTGCTGCAAATGAAAGGAACAAAAGACAATAATATTTACCGATAAGCTTTTAGCTGCATTTTAAATGAAATTTAAGACCATTTATACAAGACTAGAAGAAACTATTGTATAATAATTGATGTTTGCATTTAAAGAAGCTATTGATGATATATAAATTAATGATATTTGTACATGCATCCTCTTGTAAATAACAGAATCTCATTTTTGATTATAATTACAATTATCTATCAAATCGAAAATGAAATTTCCGTTCGCGTCACGTAGTAATAATGTAATAATAACTTCACTTAATTTTCTTACCTTTCATCCAATATAAAGCCACTATGACAACCGCACACGTAAGATCCTATTGTATTGATGCAATTCTGTTCGCATCTACCATTGTTCCATTCGCATTCATTTATATCTGATTACATAAAATCAACAATTATACTAACTCTAAAAATATAAATTTTGTAAAATTAAGAAATTAATCATTAAATTAAAAAATGCTGAAATATATGATGATGTATAGATAACATACATAATGATAATAATGTACAATTGAATGTCATTTAAATACATATGTATGTATGTCTAACTACATTTGATTATTATAATAGATGAATATAATCTCCCGTTTTTAAAATGATTAATTTTGTGATTTATTTGTTTTGTAATATTTGTTTTACTTTGAACTTAACAGAACTTTTAATACAGTAAAAAAAATTCTCTTTGATCATAGCATTTATGAATTAATCCTTAAAGATTATTTTTGGATAAACATCCAAATTTGCATAAACATCCACAGCCTAGTTATCATAAGATGCATAATTTGCCTGTGTTCGTCGTCAAATAATATCGATAATAAGTCGTCGAAATAAATCTGTACCAATATGATTCTATGATCTTCGTTTCGAAGCAAAACATTATTTTCTAGTGGCTGTAACCTCAAACGTAGCCTCAAGGCAGAAACGTTACCGAATAGTTTTTCATCGTTCTTTAAATTACTATTCCTGCATGCCTATTTCGAAGATTAAACACAGCAAACCAAGCATTGGAATTGAATTGGATGGTTCGTATTGAAGCAAATGTATAGAAGAACCAATGATTTATAGAAACGTTACAAGGTTATGCTCACAATCAGTCAGGAGACCGAAAAAAAGAGTGATTTTTTAATTGAAAAACATTCATGAATAACGAAGTTTTGCCGATATCTCGCAAAGGATTTTTTGAAATATTTATTTCAGCCAAACTGGCGTACATGTTAACGTATAGTTACAATTTTTAACCAGAATGTAGCACGTTATTGCTCAATAAAAAAAATATACAACGAATCAAAGCCCTTCATGCACGAACTAGACAATTGAATGTATTAAATAAATCTTTTTAAATTTTTAATTTCAGACGATCCAGTACCGAGCAGCAGTGATTAACTCAAAACATTTCTTGTTGAGAGAATCTCCGAAAGATCAACCACAACTTCATTATTGATAAATATTTTTAAGTAAAATAATTATGAGATACTCTCTGAAGTACACTATTTGAAATACAAAAATATTTGTTGAAAAAGGTCTTACAGTTTGTGAGAAAGGAATTGCAAACAATCACTCTTGTTTCGGCTTCCTGACTGACCACAACCCCTTAGTAATGTTATTTAATCCATAAATAGAGGATCATTTACCGCCAATTAGTTACGAACAATAAAAGTCTAAAAAATTCATAAGCTGAAAAATTTTCTCTGTTATAAACACAGTGAAGTATAATCTGAAATTTGGATGTCCCGGATTCCTTAATTGCAATATTGGACGTGACCCAATTAATTATGTACAGGTCTTAAATAACTGTGGAGCGCCGTAGGATGCGCCGCTATTCCTCGAATTTCACTGAAGTCACGTTGTGCAACTATGCTTATAAACGCGACGATGCTTATAAACGTGTCAATATATGTATACGCGTTATTCGCTTCAATACGTGTCCCTGTACAATTATCGGTATTGGTCACGGAACCTGACGAGCAATCGCAGTGATACGAATCCAAACTGTTGATGCACCTATTTTGCACAAGGTAAGTTATGGATATATTCACTGATATACAGTGACGATTGTTTGATCGACCCATGAATCAAGTTAGCTGAGACACCCTATATACGTAATGTGGGTAGTGTTTTTGTAGGTGGACGCGTAGAGAATATATGAACATAAAATTTGCCTTTTACAATGGGCACATATATTTGTTTAGATAAACAAAAGCACCCACACCCGATGACCTTGACCTTGACATACATATGTTATCAAGATCACCCTCCCAAGTAACCTTCAAAAAGTTTAAACCGTCGATCATTGGTTATTAAAAAGTTATAAACAAAAGAAATACTTGAACTGTTTTTAACCAGCTTCGATCAGTATAATGCTTCAAAGTTGATTAGAGGCAGTTCAAGAAAAAGTACCATTCTTATTACCGTGGATTTTTGGTGGATTTCAACGACGAAATGAACAAGTATTTATTCCCCAAGTTTGTTTTGTAACTACCTTTAACTAACTCAGTTCAATATAATGCCTTGAGCAGTGTTTGTTGTTTGTTTTCTAACTAGCTTTAACCAACTCAGAACGGTACAATGCTTTGAACAGTATTTTTTAAAGACACTACGTTACAAAAGTTCAGATTTTTGGGAAAATTACGGTATGTTCTTCAATCTTTCTTTGCTCATAATTTTTTAATAACCAACCAGTTCCTTGGCATTTTTATCACAAAAAACTATAAACATGTTTTTCTAAGGAAATGTTATTTTGAGAAAATCGGTACTATTAAAATGGTAGTTCTAAGTTAATTGAGTACTATTAACGTGTATATATAAAAATATGAATTTAAAACATTCGTTTGAGCAGCATCATATGAATAGACTGTGGATTTTCATACATTTACAGTATAATCGAATTTAGAGGACGTAATAAAACAAAAATGTTAATAGACTATAATTAATGCTCTCTTTGACATTAAAATAACCAAACGTCTGGAATCTACAGATCTGAGTAAGCTGAATTTAATAGAAACGTAGATGCTTTGTAATTATGAAAGATATTTTGCACGAACCTACACAATTCTCCTCGTCCAATCGGTATCCAGCCTCGCAATCACACCGAAAGCTACCATAAGTGTTTATGCACATACTCCCCTTGCAGTGTCCACTCGCGCATTCATTGATATCTGAAAACGGCTACAACTTCATACCTATTTTCTCTAGAATTATGTTACCGAAAACTATTTCGATAAGAAAATTTAATTATGTAGGTAACATAATAATTCAGGTACTGGAGACAGAATCGTTTTTTACTTCTAAAGAGACAGAAAATCATGCTTGATTGTCTCATACATTAACATTCGTATCACACGAATGTAACAAGAATGCTTAATTTCGGTTTATAAAAACAGTTATTAGGTTGTTACACATGAAATGATCGTTTTATTACCAGCAATTGATATCTAGTAATTGAACAATATATGAATTTTATTAGACAATGTAAGATTAATTCAATAGTATATTTCAGCAGAAACTTATATGTATCTATATGAAAATGACCGAATTCAATTGAGGTTGATTCATTACCTTAACCCTCCGAGTACGGTCCCTGAGTCACGCGTTCGCGAGAGCGACATGCGCACAGTAACAGAGTCAGGAGTGGGGACACGCGGTCTCGAAAGCGACACGCACGCAGTGACGGAGCTGTCGTGTAAATCGCATAGCGACCGATGTTTGTTTACATGCGAACGACCGGGCCAAGACACCGCAGAAGTATCGACTAATAAATATAATTTGTTTTATAATTCACGAGATTTTTATTCTAGTTAGTGTAATAAGAACCACGGAAATCGAAATGTAATGTGAAACCAGCTAATCATTACATTGTATACATCGAACTCGAGCAATCCCTACTGCGTAGTAATATCGGTGAGGGCCTCGAGCTCGCCTCGCCGTGGCTGTGTAGTAGTAGAATATCGGTGTGGGGTCAGAAATGACATAGGGACCGGTGACCATGTTTCCGTGCTCGGAGGGTTAATCAACTTCAGTGTTTAACATAACTGATGTTATTATTGTTATGTTAAATAATACCTTCAAACGAGTGGAGTAGTACAATGTGCAATTTTGTAATAGAAAAGAGAAGCAATGTTAATAATTTTCATTCATAAAAGTAACGTTAGATTTAGCTATCAGTAAAAGTGCCCATTTAATATGTAACGACCCAATAGAATCGTTCTCTTATTTATGTAATGTACACGTGTAATTGTTTTACATTTCAATGTGCACTGCAGCTCTGCTTAGTTACAAAAATACTCACCGACACAAGTAGAATTCTGCATCTCGAAACCTTCTTTGCACCTGCATTCGAAAGAGCCATCTGTGTTCACGCAGTCTTGATCGCATCCGTGTTGCCCGCTACATTCGTCAATATCTCTGCACTTTTTGCGATCAGTCTCATCATACCGGAAGCCGTCTTTACAACTACAAACAGCTGAACCATTTTCCACTTTGCAAATATGCTCACAACCACCATTATCACTCTCACAAGGATCAACAAGAAGGCACGATTCATTCCTGAACTGATACCCAACAGGGCAGTCGCAACGATACGATCCTTGTTCATTCACGCAAAAATGCGAACAACCGCCGTTATTATTCTCGCATTCATCGATATCCAAACAAGTCATCCGATCGTCTTTCAAACGATAACCAATCGGACATTCGCAATGATAGCTGCCCTCGAAGTTGGCACATACATCGGAACAGCCACCATTCTCCATTTCGCACTCGTTAATATCCAGACAAGTCTTGGAATCCATGTCCAAGCGAAATCCACTCGAGCAACGACACACGAAGCTGCCTTCCAAGTTAGCGCAGATATCCGAGCAACTGCCGTTCTCCGTTAGGCACTCATCGATATCATTGCAGGTCTTCCCGTTCTCGTCTATACGCAATCCTACGGGGCAGCTACACCTGACACCACCTACGACGTTGAAGCAGGCATGCGAACACCCACCATTGTTCAGTTCGCACTCGTCTACGTCCACACAATTTCGGGAGTCGTTAGCCAGCACGTGGCCCTCGGGACAGGTGCAAGTGAATGAGCCGAGGGTGTTAACGCATTTGTGGAAACACGCGGCTACCCCAGTCTCACACTCGTCCACATCGACGCAGGTCCTCTCGTCCTGCGACAGCTCGTATCCGGTGGGACAAGAGCAGAAGTGGCCACCGATAGTGTTTGTGCACTGATGCGAGCAGTCGCCGTTCCTGTCGAAGCACTCGTCGATGTCAAGACAAGTGGACTTGTCCGAATGCAAATAGTGTCCCTCGTAGCAAGAGCACACGTAGCTCCCCAGGAGATTCAGGCAATCATGGCTGCAGTTATGCTGGCTGTTCAAACACTCGTTCACGTCGATACAGCTTTTCTTGTCATCCGGTAGGAGGATGTAGCCAGAAGGACACTCGCAGTAGTAGGAACCGTTTGTGTTCTTGCAAACATGCGAGCATCCAAGCTCAACATCGTTCTCGAATTCTTCGCATTCGTCAATGTCCTCACAGGTCGTTTGATCCTGTTTCAGTCTAAATCCTAATGGGCAAGAGCAGTGTGTCTTTTCGATGGCTTCGTCGTAGTGACAATGGTGAGAACAATTCCCATTGTTCTGTTTGCAACCGTCGACCAGTCTGCAAGTTTTATTGTTATTCTCGAGAAGATATCCTGACAGACAGGAGCAACGAAATGATCCTACGAGGTTCAGGCATGTATGCGAACATCCTCCGTTGTTATCCTCGCATTCGTCGATATCGTCACAGAATGCTGGCTCGATGGAGTTGATATTAAAACCGTCGTTGCAGGCACATTCGTACCCACCCGGGATATTTATACACTTGTGCGTACAATTGTCCTTCAGGTTTAAACATTCGTCAACATCAACGCACGTGGCATTATCTATCACCGATAACTGAAATCCTGATGGACACTCACACCTGGTAGAACCGTCGCTAAAGACACAAATATCCGAACAGCCGCCGTTGTCAATGAGACAGTTATTCTCGTATATACAAAGAAGCTTATCGTTCGAGAGGATCATCCCTGGCGGACAGGAGCAGAACACCTCACCTTCCGCGTAATTACAGTCGTGAGAACAGCCACCGTTGTTCATAAAACACTTGTTCCGTTCTTCGCAGTCGGTACCGTTCTCAGAGAGGATCATTTCCGGTGGACAAGCGCAAGACACTTTTCCAGAGTCATAGTTACAGAAATGAGAGCAGCCACCGTTCTCGACGTAACACTTGCTCTCCTCGACGCAAGTGACGTTATCCTCATTAATTAGCATTCCCGAGGGACAGAAGCAGGACACGCTGCCGTTCTCGTAATGGCACAAGTGGGAACAACCGCCATTGTCGATTAAACATTCGTCAATTTCTACGCAAGTTTTTCTATCGTCCTCCAACAGCCTGTAATTGTCGGGACAGGCGCACTCAACGCCGCTTTCGATGTTGGCACAGAGATGAGAGCAGCCGCCGTTGTCCTCGATACACTCGTTGATGTCTTCACAGGTCCTTCGATCCTCGGCTAGTCGATAGCCGGCCGGGCATCCACACTTGAAGCTCCCGTCGGTGTTTACACAGGAATAAGAGCAGCCGTTGTTTGCCTCGTTGTTCGCCTCTTCGCACTCGTTCCTGTCCTCGCAAGTCCTGTTGTCCTTGGACAAATCATACCCCGCTGGACACTGGCACTGAAAACCCTTCGGCCCGCTAACACACTCATGGGAGCAGTTGTGTTGACCCGCGCAAAAATCAATTTCCTGGCACGTTCGACTGTCGGGGCTTAATTCGAAGCCGTCAGGACACTCGCAACTGTAACCACCGAGGACATTTACACACGTGTGGCTGCAGTTGTGCGGCACAGCGCACAGGTCCGAGTCGACACATGTTTTATTGTCCTGTCCAAGGAGCAGATTCTCGGGACAGGAGCAAGTATAATCGCCGTCAAGGTTCTCACATTCATGGGAACACGTATGGAGATTCTTGGCACACTCGTCAATGTCCTGACAGGTCTTCTTGTCATCGCCTAATTCGTAGCCTTCAGAGCAGGTGCAATTGAAGTTACCTTCAGTGTTCATACAGTTGTCGGAACATTCGCCATTATTCAACGCGCATTCATCGATGTCTTCGCAGGATGCTTTATCCTCCTTTAATCGAAAGCCAGCAGGGCATTCGCAGTAGTACGATCCCTTCGTGTTCACGCAGGCGTGGCTGCACGAGTGAAGCTGCTCGGCACACTCGTCCACGTCTCCGCACGTTTTCTGATCCTCTCCTAGCTCGAGTCCTTCAGGACATCCGCAACGAATCTCGTCTTCATTCTGCTCGTAGGTGTGAGAGCAATTGACATCGCTTAGTACTCGGCAATTCCTTAAATCCTCGTGCAGCTTCCAACCAGGAGGGCAACTGCAACTGTAACTACCGATGGCGTTCACGCACTCGTGGGAGCAATGGTGTTTTTGCTGGGTATCCTGACACTCGTCGATGTCCTTACACTCTCGTTCCTCCTGGGAGAACACGTATCCAGGCTGACACGAGCATTCGTAACTCCCTTCTTGGTTTATGCAGCCATGGAGACAGTTGTGGCGCTCTTCCACGCATTCGTCGATATCGATGCAACTTTGATTGTCTGCCGCGAGTTGATACCCGCTCTGGCAACCGCACGAGTAAGATCCTTCCTTGTTCTTGCAAGAGAATTGACAGTTGCTGGAGTTCTCATGGCACTCGTCAATGTCCTCGCAAGTTGAGCTGTCGCGACCCAGCCTATACCCCAGGGGACACTCGCACCGATGACCCGACCCAATAACCACGCAGTAATGGGAACAGGTTGCATTCGAGCAAGGGTCACCAATAACACACGTAACTCCATCCTCGATTAAAGTCCAGCCTGGAGGACAGGAGCAACGATAGGAGCCGTACTCGTTCTTGCAAATATGTGAACAGTGGTTGTCATCTGGTAGGCATTCATCGATGTCCTGACACTGACCATGTTCGTCCTCTCGAAGTCCATCTGGACACAAGACAACGTTACATGTCAAACCATCTTGCAAGAGCCTCAGACCATCTGGACAAGCACACCTGTAACTACCCAGTGTATTCACACACTTGTGGGAGCAATCGTGTTCATCTTCTAGACACTCATCAAAATCCTTGCATGTCTTACCATCATCCTGCAGCATGTAACCGTCAGGACAGCTACACTTGTACGTATCGTGTACCCGCTCGCATATATGGGAACAGTTGGCAAAATTACAAACGTCGATGGCAATGCACTGTTTCTTGTCCTCTGAGAGACTCATTCCCCCAGGACAGGCACATTCGTACGATCCTTCCACGTTCATGCACTCATGGGAGCATCGATAAGTTCCTTCCACACACTCGTTGACATCCAAGCAACGTTTCGAATCGTCCCCGAGCACAAATCCTGCCGGACATCTACATTTATAGCCGCCTTCCTCGTTAACGCATTCGTGCGAACATTTGTGTTCATTGGTGACACACTCATCGATATCCTTGCAGGTGTACCCATCCTCGGAACGCTCATATCCGTTGACACACGAACAATTGTAGGCTCCCAGAGTGTTCACACAGATCTGGGAGCACTTATGTTCTTCGGTCTTGCACTCATCCACATCACGGCACGTCTTTCTATCGTCGTTCAAGACGAATCCACGTCGACAGGCGCACAAGTAGCTACCGTGGATGTTTGTACAATCATGCTCACAATCGTGGACACTTTCCGCGCATTCGTCGATGTCCGTGCAGTTGAATTTGTTGTCCTGGAGAGTTCCGAGGCCAGCTGGACAGACGCAGGTGAAGCTACCCTTTAAATTGACGCAGGAATGGGAGCACAAGCTTAGAGCGCACTCGTCGATGTCCGAACAGCTGACTTCGTCATCCAGCAGCTGATATCCCGCAGGACAAACACATATCGGCCCGGTCTTTGATTCCTGACACTCGTAAGAACAAGGTGTTGTCAGTGTCTCGCATGTTCGCGCCTGAACGCAACTAGCGTTATCGCCTTTCAAGCTGTGCCCCGGGGGACAGGTGCAGCTGTAAAAGCCTTCGGTGTTATTGCAACCGTGGGAGCACGGCGGGGGCGTTTCCTTGCACTCGTCGACATCATTGCAAGACACACCGTCCTCGCGGAGCTGGAACCCAGAACGGCACGCGCAATAATAACCGCCGGGCTCGTTTACGCACTGTTGCTCGCAGCCATGGGGTTCGCCTTCCTCACCTTCGACACATTCGTCGATATCTGGAACATTGGGGTATTCGATATTCACGGTTGATCATGTTTAGGGAATACAATCCCGGGATCTAGCGATCTCGACTGTTTTTTTTTTTTGGATTCCAAAAAATCCAAGACTTGATATAATTAATTCCTGGAATTTTGGGACTTTTGTAAAAATGTGACTTACTTTGTAAACAATTCGAACATATAAAAATAAACAGAATAGGTAAACACAATTATTTCATAATAATAAGGACAATAATAATAATGATACTTTTAAATAATAATATTAATTCGAATATAATTTATTATTGTTATCAATATTATCACGAAATGACTATGTTCATTTATTCTGTTCGTTGTTATATTTTTATGTTGTTTATAAAGTAATTTATATTTTTAAAAAATCGCGAAATTTCGGAGATTAGTTACTCATATCAAATCTGAGGATTTATGGGGTCCAAAAAAGCAGCTGGGATTGTGGGACACCGGGAGTGTTTTCTCTAATCATGTTGAATTAGAAATAATAATCATTCAATAAATATTTAAATTGTTTTTTGATCAAATAAAATTTTTCTCAAATAAAAAATTTTAATTGTAATCACAATATCTATGATTAGATTTTTATAGACTAATTTACCGAGACTCGAATCAGAAAGAAGTTTGTTTACTCTGTTATGCGTTCGTGATCTAACATCATTAACCTCTTCAGACCTGACTTTTTTTTTTTTGAAGAATAAATTCTTTTGGTATGGCACTAATTGCAATATCAAATAATTTTCGCAAGTTGTATGGGAACACTAGAAGCAGCAGATGAATGGATAAGGTGTACACTATGATGTACAGAATGTCCCGATGAAAATAAAATGTAAAATAGCACCAGAACAGACGTTAAAATTATTGTACATTGCAATGTGCACTAGGTCTAAGGAGGTTGATGTTTTTATTACACTGATTCTGAGTTCGAAATGTTCAGGTACGCTATAAACGCATAAAATCAGTCTATTATGAGTGACAAAGGAAATTCGGTAACACGAAAATTCTGATTTTTTCTTAAACTTTGTAGATTTTCAGAGGAACATGAATTGAAAAGTGTCGGGTATTTTTTTACCCCTGCTTTTAGTTCTCCAGCGTCAAAACGGTCCTTAAGGTTAATTGTTCTGTTTTCCTGTATATATTGAAAACTATAATAAATATAACATAATTGTAAGAATGAAATTGTTAAAAGTTTATTGTTTAAATATATGAATAACTTCTTTGATTCTTCATTTTTCAACATTATATTACCATCAACTTTCGAACCTTGACGCTTTTATCTGTATTATAGTTCAAACTGTAATCAGATCAATACTGATTAGAATAAATTTCCCTAACTATTATATAGACTGTAGACGTTAAACGTTTATAAAAACAATCGTCGGTTTATATTTCAGTTTTTTTTTTATTTAATAAGTAGTTGTATTGGAAATGATTAAATTCTGAAGTAAGGAAAATCTATTAACGTTGAGTGAAACAAATTTAATACCGTCTTTAAATATTAGTTTAGATAAGATCGACATGAAATTTTAGGTTTATGCTAATGCAAGTTCATTGCTTAGTACTTAAGATAACCAAGTAAATTTAAAAATCTTCATTCTGTAACAATTATACATTTCATAAGGTCTTTGATTAATTACTAATTGGACTATGTATTCGTAAATACCATTTTATGAACCATTCACAATTAAATACCTAATAAATTAAACAAAATTTCTAAGTAAATATTAAGTATTTTTAAATTGTAACAGGTTTTAAAAAAGGGAATGATATAGAAATAAGCATTCGCATACCAATGCACTCGCCATTTTTATTCTTCTTAAAGCCCCCCTCGCATTTTCCGAATTCTGGAATATCAGTGACGCCTTCTTCGTCGTAATCATCGTCATCATCGTCGTCTTCAGCATCGTAATCTTCGTCTTGGAGGACTTTTGTCATCTTATGAGGCTTGCTCACGCATTTATACGAACCAATGCTATTCTCGCACTCGGTGTTATTCGAACACACTTTCGACGCGTTTTCACATTCATTTATATCTGGCGAGAAAACAAATTAAAAGAGCCAATTAAAGATATTTAATAATGTAAACATCGCACCTCTGTGAAAAAAGTGTCACAAGTCGAAAATATGAAATTTTTCAGGAGAGCGAAGAGAAACCTTATTGAAAATTCATTATGTATTAAAGCAAAATGATACTAGTGTTATCCCGTTTGAGACATTGGTCTTCAACACACATTTTCTTGAATTTTGGATCAATTTACATCCGTTATCAGACGATATTGTACGCAATAAAGTAAAAATTTAGAATTTTATTACTTGTGATACCTTTACATGTAGAAGTGCGATATGATAGTCAAAATTTAACGTTACCTCAAATATTATAGTTGCTGCAAATTTTTTGACGCTTTTTAAAATATATTGCATAGCTATCTAATTTTACGAAGAAAAATTTGTATGCCGTGTTGCACTACACTGGATCTTATACTGTCTAAACAATACTATTTGTACAGTTAGTTTGTTAGGATATATGAGACTATTCATTTTTACTCTTTGAAAAACTAATATGCGGAATTCACGCAGCAACTTAATGTAATTGGAAAATAACTAATTTATTTTATGCTTGATATTTGATTAATATCTTCTAGGTTGGATGTTAATTTACTCTGTAACATTTTCTAATTACTCTAAAAAATAAATCATTTGCCAATTAATGAAAAATTTCATTAAAGTTTGTTAAATCCGTCGTCTTGTAAATTTCACTCATCATGCAAATTATGCAACTTCTTGTGCACACTTAATCTTACCTTTCGCCCTCCAAAGTAAGATAAGACAGACGAATATACATTAATAAAAGGGATCATAAAATAATGTCAAGAGCTTAAAAAAAAAAAATGTATGCGTATTATTAATTTAATTTGTTAAGGAACACGGAAGTATAATACTATATTGATAAGTTATTCTTTGAAAAGTAAGAAGGAAAACCAATTTTTTTAATTCTGGCAATTTAAGATCAACTTATAATCTAAGTGACCAGTCTCTATTTTCAATATGCAATTAATATGAACATATTCATTAAAAAACGATTGTTAGAAACGATTGTTAGAAATAAGACTTTTTTAAAATTGGTATTAGTTGTATAATGTAATACTGACTGAAGTCATGTAATAATGGTTCATTTCATTTATCATTTTCTACGTAGCTACATGAATCAAATACAAGTAAAAGCTATTAATATTATCTGTCTTTAAAAATATAAAATTTTTTTCAAAGATATATTTTTACGTTGAATAGTATATACATACATATTCAAAAATATTAATATTTTGTATTCATTAAATTAATTTATTGTTTTTATTATAATTATTATCTAGAATTACATTTTCGAGAAATCTACTTCAATTGAAATATTGTATATTTAAAATTGATACTAGTCATGTGTTTGACAATTTATCATTTTCAAAAGTGGTAGAAGTCCAGTTGTGGTTGACAAAAGTAATGTTTTATTTATTAGAGAATACTTAAGGATATGATCATATAAAATAAGCGTATTAACGTTTAACAATATTTTTAAATAAGGTAAAATGCAAAACGTTGAATATCTCTAAATAAAGAAAGATGGACTTGTACCACTTAAAAAAAATGTCTAAATTATCAACATGTCATTAAGTAATGGCATTTTCAAAGAATAGTGTCACTTTTGCCAATTCATATATTCTGGCTAAAATAATTTTTAAAATACTTATTAATAACGCTTGATTGTTTTAAAATAGACAGGATTAAATTCGCTGGAGCAGCGGAATTTAATTTAATACCTTGGCATATTTTCCAATCGTTCGTCAGAAAAAAGCCATCAGGGCAGAGGCAAAAAGCGCTTCCAGGTGTATTCAAGCAAATGTGAGAACATCCCCCGTTGTTCGTGGCACACTCGTCGATATCCTCGCAGGTGTGATTATCCGACGCCAATTTGTGTCCGGGAATGTCGGAGCAGTTACACTCGTAGCTCCCTTCAAGATTGACACAAGTACCTTGGCACGGGCCGTGCCCATTATTTAGGAGGCACTCGTTAACGTCTGAATGGAAACAACCAAGTAACCTTGTAAATTGCTTTCGAAATTAAATGAGGGTATCTCGTATATCGGTGGATTTCGTTCTCCTATCAATTCTTCGAATACCATTGAAAACTGATCGCGTGTAAACATGGGAAATTGAACGGCTTGGAATCTCTATTATTCGATGTTATTCCTACCATTTAATAATATGTATACAGGAAGTCCTGAAAATATGGGGTCATACTTTATGAGTGTATAGTAAGAACGCCGATAAGCCGAAGAGGAATAGGAGATAATGGGTATGTTTGGGTCATTTAATATATTTCCATCCTTGCACATCTTATTCGCATGTCAATTGTACGTCGTTGCTCTTGTAGGAGTATTCATAACTTTAAATTTTTTAGTTTAATACAAATTGCTAACCGAAACAAATCGCTGCTATAAATTCATATAAATAAGATATCTCGTGCTGGTAAAAATTTTGATGGACCACTTTATGCCTCAGCAACTATTATACTTACATTAGAAATTCTAACTTAAAACACGTGGTACGAGTAACAGAGGTGCACTACTATGAACGTTCGGATACGGGAGATATGGGTCAGAAGTGTGCGGGAAATTTGTGTCGATCCCCATTTACTTTTTAATGAAATGCTTTTGCTACTAACCTTTAGATTAAAAATTTAATTAACGATATTCAATATTTCTATGTACGTTTGTTATTCCACCACAGTCTTTATTTTATGTTTATTAAGGTATTCCTTCAGAGTCTTTATTTCATTTATTCAGTTCATTACTTATATATACATATATTATCACTTTGCAGGTAATACATGTACATATACATACACTAAACTTTTGTGTATTTATTGCAAAGACAATAGAAAAATTCAATGAACTATTTATTCCCACTGGCTGACCCAAACTAGTTTCAGAACTATTATATTTTTAAGGGTTCCTTAGGAATAATGAAATGAAATTATAATGGGCCATCTATGGTAAGACCTTAGTGATTATAATTCTTTAGATTTAAAGCGTATTTTTCTTTCATTTTAGTCACTATTTCAAGTTCATTGAAAACTGACCCAAACCTACCCACTTTCCCCTAATGATTACACTGTCCAACACGAATTTTGATCCACCCATCCACTGGATGAAATTTGTCGATTTTCTTGCCGAAACACGAATCCGGTAACAGATTTGCTCTGTCACTCTCAGTTTATGAAAGACGTGAGTTTCTGTAAAAACGTACGACTCTGGGTAACAATTAAGTGTTACGTGACAACAAAAAATGCTAGAAAATTCAATTTTATCTTGGAAGATAGAGAGTTTCTTGAATATATATCCGTATATTTGGCAACTAAATTTACGACCTTCACAGTCCTCCCGAAAGAATATTTTATTAAAATTAAAAAAATAACAATTTTCAGTCAAAGTAGCATCATTCGAGCATCATTCAAGTCGACAATTTTTTGCTATATTTATGGTCATTTTTCCGTCCCACTGCGATGACACTCAAGTGACTTTGAAGTAAAATACGTGGAAAGGTGCGTTATGACATCGTCTACTTTCAAAAAGCGGTTTTCAGTTAGCGAGCGTTGTAGCGATCGGAAGTAATGGCAATCGCGTGAAACGGCATCTGGACTATACGGTGGATCAATTAGGCGCTCCCAGCCCAACTCTTCAATTTTTCCCAGTCCTTTGTCCTGTTGCAAGATAATCCTTTTCCGTAGGAGCTGGCGTAGCGGATTTTTTCGTAATTTTTCCTGAACACGGTCAAGCTGAGGTGAATTTTAATAAAATGTTCTTTTAGAAGGAATATGAAGGTCGCGAATTCAGTTTCCAACCTAAAAATTGTGCAGTTGTGAATTGTTGTAAATAACCCATTAAACTTTAGCACCAAAGAACCGATGTGCGTACTTTCCCTGCTGGGTACAAAACTTTTCGTAAAAATGCAAAAATGATATGTAGCCAGTGTTGTCGGAAGACAGAACGAGTTACAAAGTTTTATTGCAGAATTAGTTTAGAAGATTGCATCTACATGTTAGACAAAATATGAAAAATTAAATCATCTACTATCCTTAAATAAACTCAAAGTAATTTATATAACGCTTTAATTAACACTATACTCGAATTTGAAAATCGCAATCTGCATCATATGTAAGAATGATTCACAAGCGCGTTAAAAATACCCATACCCCATAAAAAGTTATGGACAGAGGTGATAATATTCGATCTACTTCTGTGCAAAGAAAGGATGGCGTAGATAAAGAAATGGAAAGACCGTGTACTATCCGATTACATGCGAAGTGGAAAATGCGTTAGGTGCCATTGAAATATTTGTTTCTGTTATCTTCCATGAAGAAATATCCATTTCTCAGAATTATTTTATTTCCAATCTCCCTTTACATTCCAATTATCCGAAAAATCGCTTATCAGTACGGATTGTCTCCCCATTAATTAAGATAATCGGTGTTCTACTGTATTCTATTTATTGTCATAATATAAAAAAACAATCGGTATTGTACATATAGCCCACCGATACTTTATTTCTAAGACACAGCGCTCGAAACTTTCCTATTAGAAGCGCGTTCAAAATGATTTCTTTGGGCGAGAATGATTTTACGAAATTCACAGCGACGCTTCATGTGCTGCTGAAAACGTATGAGAGTCTCGGCGTTATTTCAAATAGTTCGACACCATTAGGTGTACCAACAAGTAATCCACTGTGATTTCAATATAATGGTAATACAATTCTAATTCAGAATATTTTTCCGATATTCTTTTAACTCACAGTAGTGACGGCTGATGAAAAAAAATTTAAGAATACCATCAATACAGTATAGAAATTTCATTTATTTCACAAGAAATAGTGAAACACTTGTTGGTACACTTACTTGGAATGCACTTACTTGGAATCTGCATTTAAGCATTGAGATTTCGTTGAAACATTTTCTCTGATAAAAAAATTTGAAATGATATATGTATCTCGGAACTAAAGCTTTTATAGGCCCATGTTTATACAATTCTTTTGTCACTACGATGAGGAGAAAACACTCATATATCTTGATTACTTATTTTAGGAACGTTCTGTATAGGCAATGAAATGCAAATTAACATTTCAGTTTATAATATAATAGCTTCACTCTTGATTACTCTAACTTTTTCAATCTATTACCTAATAAATTTAACTAAACAAGAGTATTAAAATAGTAGAGGAAAAATCGGACGGTTTCTAGTTTATTTGATTTTATTCCGGTTCCCAAATTCGTTTCATTTTATTATATTTTCGAGTATTTGCTATTCTCTGAATGCATACGTGGGATCGATTTTGCAATTTTTAAATTACAAACGGAATAGAGAGCAAAATAAAAATGCACGACCATAAATATTAAACATTTTTAACGGAAAGGAAAATAAATGTAAAATATGAGGAACAGAATTCAGTAGTGGAGAAGAGGCAACCAAATACCCCGAAAAATAGAGAAATGTGAAAACAAGGCAGAGATTGAACAATTTCTCCTCGATATTTTCACAATAACATTTCCTCAAAAATATTGAGGAAACGAAACAGTTGGTACCGATAAAAGAGGGGAGATGAAAGTATAATGAAAAAGTGTATTAAAAAGTAGAGTAAATATACAGAAAAGTAGTTGATATGTCAAATGACGACAAAATTATGACGCATATAAAGTTAAAAAGACCGAAAGTCTTTTTTATAGAAATAAATGTCAAAGTACGAATTCACAGAAATTAAAAATCATTGGCTACAAGAGATTACAATAAAAAAAAGGTTAACCATTAAACAAAAAAACTATGTCGTGATGAGCTCTAATTAATTCTACGAAATATTCTGCTACCGTTAACTTTGAAAATATGCTTCTTATAACATCATTATTTAAACGAAACGATTTAAAATAATAAACATGAGATATAAGATGGTACTGAGTTAATAACGATATCAAGTAATATGCTTTTTAAATTTGTCGTGAAGTACCCTACAATCTCGTGAAAAAGAAACATTCGATCCTCTCAGATTTTTTTACCGTCATTTCTAGAGCACGCGATACCATTGAAGTACAGATCGAAACACTTTTTGTTGTATGGCCGCAAATGGTCGAAAAATATTTAGTTGCGTTACATGAGACACCCTGTATATATATCTTAAAAAATTTTGTTACAGTTTATATTATTAATAAAAGTTGCCCACACGTACTGGTCACAATTTGTATTTATTTCTTGGCAATTAAAATTCCTAAAAAAACTTACGTTTCTACCAAATCTGTCTACTTAGTCCCTTTAAGCGGTTAAGCGACAATAATCCTCGTTCCTCAATGCGAGAAATTGCACAAATTCTCAAACTAGGTTAAATGTCCCAACTACTGTCAGTCTCCCTAATACTGCCACTTTGTTTATTTTACTCAATAAAAACGTAACATTCAGAATTGTATACGGAAAACTTCATTATTAAATTGATCTTGATTATTAGATTGACACTGATTTACACAAAAGCACAGAAATACATGTACTTGTGTGTACTTGGTATTTGAAAATTAATGTTGAAAAATGAAACGTGCAATTTTAGCGGTATAAACGCGATTACGTAAGTAGGAATGATGGTGAAATCATACTAAAGAAAGAGCTGTTATTTTACTATCGAACCTGTATCTATTGGACAAAATGAATTGTTTAAGTATATAAGAATTGTTTTAATTTTTGAGATGACATTTATAGACACTGGGTTTGCTTGCTGATTTTAATTAGGTATTAATTAATTCTTCATATTCAATGTATAAACCGTCTTTTTTTTAATAAAGGAGATGTCGAATAACATTATGTTCCAAACTGAGACGATTTTTAACGACACATAAAATGATTATGTAGATGAAATTACGCTGCGGTCTTATGGTGGCAGCAATTGGGACATCTGCCCTATCAAAATCAATCATAGAAAACCGTTCGCATAAACCTGGTTATGTCAACCGGCTTAAAATTCCCACGAAATTTTTCAGCCAATTGATTATTTCATCGTCAAACTCCTATGGTTAAAATTCAAGTGTTTAGAAATCGGAATTCTCGAATTTTTTTCTGCGGTCGGGGAACCTCAACGTTATTTAGTTGAAACTACCCGGATCGCGCCGTAAACGTGGCTAAATTCACAGACCGCGCCAGGCAATTCGGTAACCATTGGGGTTTGGTTGCTTGCAACTCTTGCTTTGGTTACGTTAAATCGCAGATGCTGCTGCGGACCTCTTCCGTTTTGGTTGGTCGCCGGCGAAGGAATTAATTTGCGAACGTTCTCGTCGAGGAATTTCTTAGAAATCAGATTAAACGGTCTCTGTCCCAAGTGGATTATCAATTACCTACGGTACATACCCGTGCTATTCACTTATTTGGACACTCATGAATTATTCATCGACTATAGGTAGCGGAGAAAGTTTCGTCCAAAAGAAATAGACAAAGGAAATAATGAATTTGCATGACGAACAGAGTAATTTTATCTACAGATGTATTCCTTTTGACGGCAACTAATGAATTATTCATTTAAATATTCGTCAGCAGTACGGTTACTAAAAATAAGATTTATATAGAGTGCAGTGATTCCTCGATGAATGCAAAATGCAACACGAACTACGTCGTTATTCCCAATACTGGGGGGCTCTTCTTCTAGAACCAATCAAAACAGAGTAAACAGAAGCTAAGCAGAGGTTCGGTTTCGTGCAAGAAATAAATTTATTAGGGGCTGAAAACCTTTCCGCCTTGCCATGAATACTCCGAAGCGGACCCGAGTTCGTCGCACTCAACGAAGCATTACTGTACTAACTACCGAAAAAATTTATTCATCTTTAGTATTATCACTGGCAGAAAATATTGAATCAAACAGATCAACATAATATTATAATTAGGGTAATTGTTTATTTAGACTACCACTTGTAAGTATTAGGACAACTGCTAATGGGCGTACAATGCGACAGGGGGAGGCATAGTGGAATACTTGTCAGATCTTCACCGCTCGTGGGCGACACCAAGTCCGTGATAAAGTGTAAAGCACAAATAAATACTATTACTTGTGTATGTTGGGTTATTTACTTTTAAAGCATTATACTAATCTAATTTTTCAGAGCTAGATTAAAAAAAAAATAGTGTACTAAGCATTATGTATACTGATCTGAGTTGGTTAGTATCTCAGAAATTAATTATGACCCGCAGCTAAAATTTTGTACATATTTAGGGTTCTCTCCTTCCTCCCCTCCTGACCATCAAAATTTAGATTGAATATGATGTATGGGTCATACCGTAATACACCCATTAAAATTCTTTCATGTATTTAATTTTATACACTTTTAACGGTACGAATTGTTAACATTAGATTATTAACATCATTTCCACGTAAAGTTACAGCTTGCGTTGTATTTTTTATAAGGCATTATTTATTTCGATAGAAAAGTTACCTAAAGATTGCTAAAACTAAATGAAAACAGATAGCGGATTCAAATTGGATATATTCGAAAATCAAGCTCTAAAGTGGACTTCCTAACACTTCATTTATGATTCTGATAGAAACTGTTTCTGAATAGTCAAATCATTCAACTGAATGCTTCAATTCCTATTACTTTCTAAATGTAAGTCTCAAATTAAAAAATTTACTGTATTTTAATGTTGTATTAAATTTTATAGTTATTTTGTGCATGTTGAGTAAGAGAATGTTAGTTGAGGATTTAATTAAATATTACTACGAGTAACGCAAATATGTGAAAAATAAAGGACATTATGCGAGCCATGATAGTTAAACGACGTACGTAACGGTTCTGTCTAATTTATCCTTTTACTGTTCGACGGTTGTATCTAATTTATCCTTATTCTGTTATCTATTAAGGATTCTTTTAGGTTCTAAATAAAATGAAATCCTCATTGGACTTTATTAAACTTTATGCTGTTCTGAATTTTAGACACCTAAGTTTGCTGTAAATACAGCAAATCCGCAGTATGTTGATAAATATTGGTTAATCATTGTACAGAATGTACGAGAATAATGGAATAAAAATAACATATCGTAGAAGGAAAATTTGTTTAAAGATCAATTAAAATATCAAGTATCACTGGATATTCGATATTTCATATTGAACCGAGATAGTATTACGTCCGCAGCTTCATTCTTTCATATTTAATAATAATATTACAAAATATTTGATACATAAATGGTTACTATTATTTACTTAACTATTACGAAATTGGAAGACCACAAAAGCAGTTTGTTGGTCACAATATTCTCGCTATAACAGCTGTCCTTTCGATATATCGTTCCCATAAGGGATTCCGAATCGAATTTAAGTAGTTGAACATACAATTTTTCCGACATGAATATGAACCGACGTCCATTCGCCTCTGCCACACGGTAATAAAAACAAATCGCTTAATTTGATGCATTCGTAAATGCTGGATGATTCCGTTTTATTTCGAACAAGTTAGGAAACTTTTATAAGGATGGTGTTCTCGAACTGAAATAAAAATCACGGATTGCAATCGGAAACAGAAAGTGTATTATCAATCGAACGGAAACTGGTTCAACGAAGTTTCTCCTCGGAAACTTTAAATTCTCGTACCTCTTTCGCAGTATTTAATGGGAGTAAAGTAATTGAATGTATCTTTTTGTACACATCGTATTTTAATCACGGTAAACAAGATCCGTTTTTAATTAAATGTTTGGAAAAAAAGTTTCTTGCCCCGAAACGTAGGTATATATATTTTTAGTAAGGGCGATCTGGGAAATGGAAAAACTTTGTTTAATAAGAGCGTAAGAACGGAAGCAGTAAATCATGTTCAGTTTATAAGAAGGAATTAAGTTACTAAAGAGTGTTTAGAATTATGAATAGAACGTGTATAGTTATTTCGTGGAAAAATATAAGGAAATGGATTTTGTTTATGAATATTAAGAAATCAACAAATGATTAAAAATATTATTTTGTGCATCAGTTGCTGCTTAACTCCTTGCCTTATAACATCGAGTCAGACTCGTGGTGACGATATAAAAATGGAATCAACAAACAGAAATATTATTCGTTTTTTTTCAGTCAAAGGGAAATACTAGTTTGCTGAAATTAATATTTAACTTTTAGAGTAAATATACAATTGCGATAAGTACACGAATTCCTTTTGTTTCTGAGGAATTATTGATGATAAAGTAATTCTGGAGACTGCAGACATCAAGAACATTATAGGGCCAGGGTTAAAATGAATATTGTTATAGCAACCATATGCATTTTTAGACTACGTTTTATAGATTTATTAACAAAATTTATCTAGCAAACATATATTTTTGGTAGTATTTTTTAAAACGTAGTTTTCTTTATAGTCAACGTAACAAATATGGAACACTTGAGTGTATGGCTGTATATAAAATTCAGATCGAAACTTGGAAGGGTGGTTTCAATCCTTAAAGTCGCGTCTCAGCCGATAAAAAAATATGTATCCCTTATTTTTGACTGCTTAAAAGACATACGAAGTTTCATCAAAATCGGAGGAGGACACTTCCGTGCCTTCCCTTATGAGTCCATATGACTTATTTCTGTTTTCAAAAATGAAAACCCTCCTGAAGGGTTGTCGCCTTGGGGAACATTGAATAGATTGTGACAAACCAATTGAACGCATTCCAGTTGACGATACCTAGCACTATTTCAAGATATAAGAACAATGTCTCCAGTGGATTATGGTTTTCTAAATTAACGATCCTGAAGAAGTTAACTTTGATTTTTTTCTTCGCCAGCAGACCCGTTACTTTTCTGACAGACTTCGTAAATGTACGGCGGAACAGTTAAATTAATTTGTAAAAATGTAACTTTGTGAAAAGATCTGCATGCTTATCTATAACTAAAACTATGAATTAGCAGGATATTTGCAGTGTTAATATCAAAATTAAATCAGTTTTTTCACTCACCGTGACATGTTTTACTGTCGGTTCCCAACTGATAACCGGGGTGACATTCACAACGGAAGGCCCCAGGCTCGTTGTGACAGATTTGAGCGCAACCAGCTGTACTTTCGACGCATTCGTCAATGTCTGCAAAAAACCAGTGGCAGAAATATTATCAAAATTATTACCATTGTCCAAGTTCATAATGCAATAATAATCTAATAAAATCATACAACATCGGAATGTATTTTTTATTAGTACCCTATATCAACTTTTAAAGTTGGAAATTATTGAACACGTTTAATTCAGTTTTCTAGATCAATCAGATGGACCTGTATCACCGAAAAACACTTTTTAATTTTTTACTACTCACCAAAGTGCACTCGAATATATAAAAAAAATATAAATTTCAATCAATCTTCGATTTAAGTCTTCGATTTAACTGTATTAATAGGTTCAAGAAAAGCAACGTACATGAACAAACTTTAATTTTTTATATGATCAATGAAGAAATACCAATAATATATATATTTTTTTAACACTTATAGTAAGTGGTCAGTGGGACAAACAGAGTCCTTGACCTACGAAAACTTTTATACATATAAAACCATACTACGAAGATGTACAGGATAGATCATAAGTCACTGTACAGAAATGTACTTAAATTTCAAATATTTCTGTTTTCGCTTGCATTTTATTATTACAAACAGATAGTCGTGTATAATGAGAAAACATATCGTCTACTAACCTACACTACATAGCTTCTCAATGCGCCCTCCTGCGTTTGCATTGCAACAATTACATCTTTGCAACGCAGAGGCACAAATCGTATGACAAATATTCTAAGAGAACAGGTTCTCGAATTCAGACTCGATATGTTTTTTTAGACGCTCAAAGTCCCAAATTATCACAAAATAAACTCTCTTCTTTATTATTCTCCACACTAATAAATGAAGAGGTGAGTAACTAATGCCAAGCGACTTATAGCCCACCATGTACATGTAATGTAGTACATAATTATAGTATGAGTAACTAAAAATTTTTGTAACATTTCAAAGCACAGTTATCATAAAACAACGGTATACACACTTTTTAATATCAAATGAAGTAGAATTACTAGATTAGTCTAGAATTACTAGAAGAACACTTATCCAAAGGATAACATTCACGATAATAATAATAATAATAATAACGTTAAAAAATTTTACAAAATTTTGAGGCTTATTTCGTCATTCGATGCAAATAGGTTGACCCTAGAACGCCTAGGGGAAGGGGGCTCCTCGAATCCACAAGTCGAATAGCGTATAATTATAACTATTTCTCGTCTGGGAAAAATTCTTAAAAAATTATTTATTGTTGTATAACGAGAAAACGGACTAAGCGTCGCGACAGCTGCGATTACACATCGATGGTGGCGTTCGTTGCTCTTATCTCCAAAGAATAACAAGCAATCACAGAACGAAGAATCGAACTAACGGAGGAATTAGAATAATCAAATTCAGACTAGTTCCATGTTAGTATACTATTTCACGATACCATTCTATTTAAAAAATACATACAAATAAAAAAATTTAAAGCAAAAACATGTGCTATCTTGTTTGCCATGTATAATATGAATGTTATACAATTTCATAAAAAAAAACAGATTTCTTTTTTCAGGAAAAATTTGTACCACGTCTTTCAACATCATCGATGTTTGTCAACCATCGAATACACAAGCATTCATTGCGTAAATGTGCGATAATCAGATGGGAATATTTACGCCATCGCTTGTGACAGCCATTTTAATCGATAAAATTTCACGTGACCGAGACGGGGACATAAATTACGGGTTACAGATTAATGTCGCCACATAGATTCCAATACGGGATCGAGAAAGCTTGTTTGGGGACCAGGGGCGACAGCAGTTGCACTTGAAACACACTTCGATAGCAGCTCTCGCAGTGCGGTCGTTTTCACGGAGACGCCGGTGCCGATTAGCATACAATGGGAGCTGGCACCTACACCGTGTTTCGACCACGTGTCTACCTGTGTGCCACGGGCATTCGAATCACGCGCTGCTAACTGTTCGGTTGACTAATCGAGTCGAAAGTGGGACCTGATTTATGTACACAGACGATGATATACCTAGAGAAATGAAAGACTCACTATGGTTGACAGTTTAATCATACTACCACCGTTTCTGCATCGATCTCCGTAAAGCAGAGTCCACGCTGCAAAACAAGACATTGTTATACAGGATGTTAATAAAAATGCGGGACACTTTCACAGGATCGATTCTACATGCCAAGCTACGACGAAAATTAAGGATGTATCGGCACTATCTACAAAATTTAATTTAATTTTTTAACGGGTATTCGGCCTTTATAATAGGTACAGTTGAGTAGATACAATTAGCAGTGCATCTATTACATAAAATCATATATCATAACGTAGCATAATAAGAAACAATGATAAACAGTGATTATGTAATCACAACTGAAGGAGATATTTAGGTGTCTACTTTTAGATGGACCAACCTGTAGAAGAAGTTATTATTACTTCCCCAAATTGATAGCTCCCTCGCTCAACTCCCACGCCCGCGTAATTTAAATTCAATTTCGTTTCGGTTGTCTTCAACACCCCGTATATTCGCACGTTATATAACACTCGGTACGTTCCAAGGAATTTATCCAAAAGAGGCGAGATTTTACGATTCACGAAATTCTCGTACGGAACCTGAGCTCTTTGTTTTTTTTCCTCACGCGCGCCCGTTGAATTACACGTTTCTCCGACTTCAGATCCCGGCTGTTCGGATTTCGACGAAGTCACGGCAAAGAAGTATGGGCAAGGGGGGGAGGGGGAAGCCCGTGGCGAAACGTAGATTCTCGGGTCAGAAAATTGTAAGCCTCCCTTATGTGTGACCTTATCCGGCCCACGGACAAGCATAAACCATGCTGTATCTCAATTTCAGATCGCAGGGATTCAACAAATCCAACGATTTACTGCTAACACTGCGAGTCACGAATGATAGCTGAAGAGAAACGAAATTCATTTCCGACATTCGCTAACACCGTTACCCATGGTATGTACCTACCGTGTCCTGGAATATTTCGGACAAACTGCTGAGATACATAACAGGAGTAGAATAGTTTTGTTACATAAGTTACAACCGTGTAATATTTTATGGATTTTTTAGTATGGTGAATCCATTTCTGCGATCTGAATTTCTCCTATCCACAGACAGGTTTTGTAAAAAATTTAGTCTTGTGAAAAATTCTATTTTTCCGGAGATCGATAATCTTTTACAGAGTGTCGTCGAAACGGTGGTACAACATATAAGAATGTGATTCTTGGAAAAGTAAGTCAAAAGTGTAGAATAACATCTTTTCGTACGATGCTTCGTTTTCGAGTTAATTGAATTTGAAACCTGGTGGATAGGCGTCAGCTGTCGCGTCTGTTCATTGCATTCTGTTTCTACTGATCGTCACTGAATTTGAATACGTCAGACCTGGGCAAATTTTATTTGAATTGAAAATAATAAACAATTTATTTCGGAGCATTATTTACAATACTGCTATTTGAAAATTATGTATTATTTTGTTATTTTCGTATTTAAAATTTGATAGAAGAAATAATACTCAAAGTAATATGCAAACAACATTTTATTTTAAGAAGTCATTAAAGCAATCGGCTTTAAGCAAATCCGCTCTTCGAAAAGCTAATCCGTGAGGGATTTTTGCTTGGGTCCATCTAATATTGTCGCGAAAGAAAATAATCGTTCCACTGGTATGGAAGATGGAAGAGGGGTGTTATTCTCCAGATAAATGTCATTAAAATCAAATCAGATATAGGAACCTGATACAATTTCGAAGAACAATTTCATAATTATTTCTAAGAATTATTTCAAATGTTCCGAAAATAAAATAACATATTATTTGAAATAATATTTCGATTAATGTTATTTCAGACGTAATCACATGCGTGAAAATAAAAATGAAATAAAATGACACGTTATTTGAAATAATATTTCAAATAACATCATTTTATAAGTGCCCAGGTTTGAAATACATACGCGTCAGATGAATTCTGAAAATTGATTATTTTATTGGTATTCTACATTTTCGACTTATTTTTGCATGTAGAATCGCATCCTTTTTTGTTGTACCTCCATTTCGGTAACACCCTGCTTACAGAATGCTTCATTGAATTTAAACACACCAAAAGCGTTTAATCTTTGATTGATGAGATGGGGTCTAAGGAACGCCATGAAACTTTCAAACAAATTAGAATCAAATACCCATTTACGCAGCAACCTCTGGTGATCAGTAGTTGCCCATTATGCTTTCATTATTATATTCCTTGTGGTGCAGCAAGCACACATTGTGAATTCATTCTATAGTCTGAAAAAATAGTAGTCCTGTAATTTACAGATATCAAACTTCAGAATGCTCTTCAAAGAAATTTCTTTCGACTAGTTTTTTAACACAGTGTCTTTTAGCTGGAATGTCTATTTATTATCAGTTCTACGTGTTTAGAATATTTTATTTTTATTCACCCGATACTTAATGAAATACCTGTTTACTTCGATGATTTCTTACATAACAATCAAAACAATTAGTTGTGTACTTATTTTCTTTATAAATAAAATTTGATTCATACTACTTGTACGAATATACACATGTACATATGTACCTATTAAAAAGATTTGAATCCTTCTGGAGAAAAAAATATATAAAAATTGAATGCTTAAATAGAAAACAATTGGGGGATGTCAGATCCCACCTCACCAGTTAGGAGTTAAGGAAACAAATTTTTACATTCATACACATTACCTATGTTCGAATTTTCTTAGCCAATGTGAAAATACATAACGCTAACAACGTTAATGTATAGGTTTTTTCATAAATTTTATTCAGTTACCGTATCTGTATTCATTTTGGTATAATTTCGTTCAGATTTTGCAAGGCAAGCAACGTATGTTAAAATTTCTCAAATTAGTGAACAAACTTTTTCGTTGCCTACCAATATACGTAAACTGCGAAATACACACATTTTAAATTTAATAAAGTTTAGTGATGTTTTTAGTTCATTTATAACTTATTAAAAGGCTTCAGTAACAACTTCGTAAACTAACTCGTAAATGAACCTTCAAGTAAAAACATTTCGCTTAGATTTCAATATCACTTTCTAAATATAAGTTCATATAAATCCATATTTATATATATAGTCTTAAAATACTGAACGTCATTAACAACCGAGTGGTACAATGGCAAACTGTTATTCCAATGATTACTTTTCCCTTTTTTGTTATAATTTACTCTACTCTGTCACGTTAGATAATATTCTGTCAGCAGCAACGTATTTAACAACCAGATCATTTCCATATTTCCCACTTCATTTTAAACATAAGTTCATGTTATTTAGCCTCTTTATGGAAATAAATAAATTCTATTGTCACAGAATTTTTGTTCCAAAACCACAGATTTTATTTTCACGATTACTGCAGGTGTATCTATAAACTTTAACGTTAAATCTACTCGTGAACTAACATAAGAAAACCAACAGTTCCCATAATTCAAATCGAGAAGATAGGAAGTTAATATCCCCAGTGTCCAGTACCTCTTTCTAAGCTCCTACAGTATTCAGAGTTATAGCATTTGAAGTGAAATAAACGTTACCTAGGCAGGCATATCCTTTCGGGCGATATCCATCGAAGCACGTACACTTCACACCTGTCTCAGTGTTTTCGCATATATGCTCGCATCCTCCCCTGTCTTGATTGCAACGTTTCACGCTGTTGAGTGTTCCTTCTGTAACAAAAACGAATGATTTCTGCAATTTGCAATTTAATATCCAATTGTCTTCCTCTTTGTGAAAGGAAGATTTGAGCTTCAACCGTGTGGAGGATCAAGGTAAGAACCCACAATTATTAAAATTCTTAATTTCTGTCTGTTTACTTGTAAGTCGGATTCATTATTGGTGAAAAGTTTTCAACTGCAATACTTGTTACAGTTTCGTGAATATATAAAGCTATAATTACATATTACCAGTTTTTTTAAACTGGTATAAGTCAAGTCGTAATAATGACTCAATACGTTCGCTATTGTTACTTATGGAGAAATCCGATCACCACAACCCATGTCTCAATTTTAATAATTTTACACAATAATACACAGATTTTTACATGCATATACCATTAAAATGTGCTAAGTAGACAAGCTGAGCGGATTTCATATTGCGTTACATTTACATGCGGAACATAAAAACCCAGATTTATCCGAGGAAGGTCAAAAAATTTCAGTAAAATAATATTATTGCGCTATTAATATTATCTACCTTTACGATGGTATATCCACTTCTACCAGATTATTCTGTCATTAAACTTAGTATAATAATATTCTCAAGGATATATACATATATGAAAACAATATATTTTTACATTCAATAATAAACCTCTATCATTTCCATTATAATCATTATTGTGTATATAGATAGATATTTACTTTCGAGTCTTGCACAATTCTATTTCTCTTCTTTCATTATACATATACAGCAGTATTTTTCATCTTTCATGGATTTGTACAGAATTTTCGAAAACACTACGTCAAAACGTACGCAAAACAAAGCTCGGAATTTTTGACGACCTGAAAGTATAAACAATTTTGCAACGAGAACATTAACGGTGGAATGCTAGAAAATATTTCTGAGAATATTATTATTTTCGTACCGTCAGACAAATATTTCTACAAACCTAACGCTTCTATTCCCCAATACTTACTTCCGTCCTTTATACAACGCGGAAGAACGCCCAACCAAGTGGCATCGCTGCAAAAGAGCCGATCCGCCATTGAGTCCTCGAAAACGAAACCCTCTGTGCACTCGTAAACTGCGACAAGGTATCGATTGTACGGGGGCAGTACATTTTTCCTCCTGCAAAAATACGTAGAAACATATACAATTGGCGGCGAAGAAACTAGCACCCGCACACAACTCATAAATATTTGCTCGGCTGCAGACGAAATGTTCGTCGCTTCAATAAATCCTGTCCAATGGTGTTTTTTTTTATGAGAAATTGTGTAGAATTTGACAGAGTATAGTTTAGACGGTTTCATAATATGTGCTGGTGAAAGTATGTGACCGATTGAACTATAATTTTATTTAAAATCATTACAATAAGTATAACAATTGAGAATAACAAGTAATTATTCGAATAGAAATAATAAATTTAGTTGAAACGAAGGTATATAAACGAAATTTCAAAAGTTTATTTATATAGTAAATTGTTCTCGAATTATATATTTACCAAGTACTTTATTATTTCAAATGACAATGCAGAATAAAAAAACTAAACTTTGGTATTCTACTACTCACTAAACTTCTCATTCAACTCTTGAGCAGACAAACGTAAGTACATACATATGTTCATTTATGTTGTATCTACTGGTATGTACCTATAACTAAGGATAACTATCGATGACTAGTAACCCAACAAACGAAAAGTATCGATGGTGCCAACTATCGATTTTACTCCACCACTAACATCAACGATATTGCACTGTCGAAATAGTGCATCTCCACTGTTTATACTTCAAGAAATTGATTTACAATATAACAATACCTCCCAAAGGAACTGATATTATTTCTGTCTGTGGCAGTATCTTTTTAACAGTTTATTTGACGTTTACAATTATCAATTGTGTACAGAGATCGAACGGGTAACGGTGGTAAAGAAACCGAATAAAACCTTATACTTTTTTGTTCGGAAGAGACACAAACCTGGCATATTTCACTGGATACGCGTGTTCAACATGGGGGGCTTTCGCAAATCCCTTCTTGCGAGCTTTCATGAAGCAGCTCAGATCCAACCTCGACATTATTGTTTCATTTAAGGCAGCGACTGGTGACGCTAGAGGCGATTCGGATAAGGATTTCCCGGCGATTTGCTTGCGTTTCTTCTTCTCTTTTCTTCGTTTCTTCAGCTCACCGATTCTCTTGCGCGCTTTCACCCGATCCCTTGCAACTTTTTCCTCCAACGTTGTCGTTGAAATTGGATCATCGCCTTGATAAAGGTCGTTGCGAAAGTGTCGGAATCTACTGTCTGAAACAGACGTAATGGGAAACGAGGTTAAAGTTTTGGCGTAAATATTAAAGTATTTATATAATTAATAGGGAAGACCAAGCACAAACGTAAGAACTTGCCTTTTCGAGTCTGTAACTTTAAAATACTATTAAATGTGTTTGAAATTCGTACACGGTAAGAAACCTTGATTATTGGACAATATAATCAAACGTTAAAACTTGGAATATACTATACCAGTTGTTTAAAATAAGACATTCTTTAAAATGACACATTTGTTACTTTTGTCCCTATTGACAATTGTAACACCGTATCAAAATTAAAAAAAAATTAACAAATAGAAAAGATGCTTTCAAATGATATTTTCATTTAGTCTGTAGATAGACATAAAGATAAAGACAAAGACAAAGACAAAGATAGAGATAATATGAACTTTAAAATTTTGGAAGAATGCAAACAAGGACGAAAAATATTATCATTTATTTTTTTTCCAAGAGTCAGGAATATGTACGTTTCTTATGTTTTATTGCCAACTCGTAAGCCAATTATTCGACTTCTTTTGTTGTTATTCCGTAATTGATAGCAAATAAGTACAACAAATTATCTCGCAAAACAATGTCCTCTTCGTTTGAAAACACCCTTTTCGTCGATGTATAACGAAAAAAAGGTAGGCAAGCTCGACCCTCTTCAATCATATTTTCCTGCCTTTGAATATGTCGAAACAATGTTACGTAGTATAGTTTAACCACTTCTGCATTCAACCAATTTTGTCCCTACTAGCGCTGTCATAAACACGTTACTATGATGGAAACCTAATTTATTATCATGATAAAGGTTATATCTACCCGAAAATACATTAATTATTTATTTAAGATAACACAAACAATTTCAGAAAATTTTACGGAATTGAAACAAAAATATGCATAATTGAAAGGGATCATGCAAATTCACTTTTGGTGTATTATTTCAATAGGGTAGTCGCATTAGAGAAACTGTTGACTGCTGCGTGTTGGCCAAAACTGTAGTGGAGGACAGATGGAATTTGCGTACAAAGATGGGAGGAGAGAATTGTTGGTCTATTAGCATTTGTTTTATAACAGTTGTTACATTCGTCACGTGTTACGTCTGCCCCGAGTCGCCGCTGTACAGTAAACCCTCGATAAGTGATCGATGGCTCCTCGGTAGTGAGAAGGAGAAGCCTCCTTGATAGTGATCCTTAATAATAATAGAGCTTGGAATTCTGAAGCCAATGATATTCATTTGTTTCAGCCGCATATGGCCATTAGTTTATGAAATATTTCTTGTTCAGAGCCGAGGAGCCTTCGAACACTCATCGAGGATTTACTATACATATAAATCCCCTTTGATCTTGCTTTGTCTAATAAACTTCATGTGCAACAGTTTAATATTTTCTCTTGCACTAATAGCAGTTATCCTCGATAATTGTACTCGTATAAAGACGAATGAATTAATAAATTTCAATTTCAGAATAATTATATAAATTTCTCGATGAGTGGTTCCATCGCTCAAAGACGAACCGGTATACCGTGAAACGTGAATATTGAAGTCAAGTCACGACCGTACAAAACTATATTCTATTATATTCGAAATTGTCATTGTTAAGCTGATGATGAGCGTAATCGCTTAAATTCACAACGGACCAGTGGTCTACGATATCCTAGACACATACATATATATGCATATACACATACATTATCGCATTGATATTGTTTATCTCGGGATCGAAACTACCAACAGAGTTGAGACAATACGTCGACGCAGTCGCGAGCCTCTTATTTCAAACGAACATGGGTGCACGTTGTCGACGTTGGAAGTTAACTGTAACACCAGGATATCCGAAATCCGGCCACGATGAGAACTTTGTTACAAGTGCAACTTGTGTGTTGGGGTGCACAGTGAATTCTGCCGATACCCTCCATTTCCTTGAGAACGGGCCCGTAATAACGTATAATGACGCGATTCCATGAAATTCCTCGTTTAGTGACAGTTCTACGTTTAAATGGTATGTGGTAAAGGATACTTTACTTGCAATTTGGAAATACATACAGCCTTCATCAAAATTATTGGTCATTCCATAAAATATGAATTTTTAAAAAAAGATGTTTGTATTAGGGGAAAATGATACTATTAAAATGTCAAAAGAAAATTTCTTTATTACTTTTGTGAATATTTTATTAGGTCACCCTTTGCCCTAATGGCTGGGGTTGCCCTAATGACAGTCACAACAATTTCTTTCTCACTTTTACCCTATTCTTTAAACAAAAAGAATTAACTTGCGTTGATGGTCATCCAGTTCATTCTTTTTTTGGCATATTTCAAGGAAAGCTTTCAAACTTTCAGAATATTATGTAACAGAAATACTAAAGATAAGTTGATATGTGTTAGCAGCAGAGTGATGACAGCTAAGGATGTTCTTGTGGTTACAAAATCGATCTTTTCAATCGATTCTCTGATGTTCGATTGTTCTGAGAATCGATTCTTTACACCGAGAATCAAAAATCGGTTTTTCTTTTTTGTTTTTCCGTTACCAAGGGCGGTTTCTCAACGCCACTACATTTGGCTAAACGTCGAAGAGATAAAGCTGTTTGATTGGTCCTTCTGTTTGAGAATTAATTTATCTCCAACGGATTAACCAATTACAACAGCTTCACTCGGCTAGGTTTTAGACATCTGAGGTGTGGGTTCTTCCTAATCCCCCAACTCTTTTTTTTTACACGATTGTTAAATAACACGGCCGAAGAAAAAAACTGCCTTCCTTCCTTTTACACAGTTTATTACCTTTAACACGGTCGAAGAAAAAAACTGCCTTCCTTCCTTCCTTTTACACAGTTTATTTCCTTTAACACGGTGCAAGAAAAAAACCCTTATTCCCTCTCTAACGATTAAAAATTATTAGAACTTGGAAAACTAGAAGAGCAAAAGAAAATAACAGATTTTCTGACAAATAGATCAGTACCGCAAGGACTTTCGGAAAGTAGTCAATCTATTCAAAATGTTATAACCGGACGAAAATCTTCATTGCAGTCTGGCGGATGTGGTAGATCTCTAGCGAAGATAGCGATTTTTGTCCATCTGACTATAAACATATGCGATTATTATCAAGTAGTGACGAATAATAACTTATATTATTTCTAGTATTTTTTATTGAAAATGTTTAATTTTTTCTTTTTGCAATATTTATATGATAATAATTTTATTTTAGTTAGAACATAATTTAAATCTGTATGAATTTTATTTTGCTGCCAAATATTTAAATGTATTTATATATAAATTTTCGTCAATCCTTTATACGGCTTTTAGAATGAAATATTCTTTATTCCATTTTACACGGTTTCTTAATAACTCGGAACGTGTCTCCCAGTTTACTATAGGAAACAATTCTTTTTAGACGGTTTCTTTTACACGATTTTTTGAGGAACGTATCTTTCGTATACAAAAAGAGTTGAGTGTAACTACACAGAACCGTATTCCTAAGTACCAATCAAATAATTATTTATAATAAATCCAATCTTAATCGTTAATACGTTTGTTCCTTGTTATTGATTTCCTAATTTTAAAGTTTGAACACCAGAACAATAAATTCGTACCTTTTAGGGAAAGGGAAGAAAGTAAATTTCGAACCTTCAAACAAATTATTAATTAATCTATTGATTATTAGATGTATTTCTTAAAAGAATTTCCAACTGATTTCAAACCATCAAATGTATACTAACTTCACCTTCAATTCTTACTTAACTCCCCTATTCAATAGGGAATTTTATTAGGGGTTACCTTACGATTTTTGGAACAATTTTTTGGTTTTGATTTTTTTCTAAGGGAATACTAACAAGATCATAACAATAAAGAAATATAACATTTTAACGATTTGTGCGTGATCTACATGTGTGGGGGTATGTCCACAAAGATACAAATGATGATGACATTCCGCCTCCCGCCCCTCAAAGATTTCAATTCTGCCTAATTACACTCTTTGTATCGCCAATATTTTTAAATATATTTATTAGGTTGTTGCATAACTAATGTCTTTTTTTAAATCGCAAAGTTCGAACGATTATGGTTTATTTTGAAATAAATATTTTTAGTCGATACAAGATTCATCCGAATTGACACACTCTTGTCAACGAGTCACAAGCTTCTTGATCCCGTGTTTAACGTTTTAACGATAGTTCAAATGAAACCCATTGCAACACGACATTTATTCTGCAACGACCTCATAATTGTTTCTCTTTATGTATCAAAGTACACATAAGATTCGAAAGAAAGGATGTAATTTAAAATCCATAGAATCAAGGATTACCTCAAACAAACGAACAATAAGATGATTATTCAGATATCATACCAGATTACTCAATGTCTGCATGCTCGTATTGTCGTTATAATTCACCATTATGCGATACAATGATCACTTCCGTGTACACATTCGTGGTCTCGGAAGCAGATCCGACGGGTTCGTCGAATCACAATCGACTATATCGTTCTTACGATCGGATGCCAACAACAAAGGCAGGACAATGACTTCGTGCTTACACATGCCTTGATCCATACGAGTTGGACGATATTCTGAACGCGATCATTGTGAACGATAATGCCTTGGATCGAAAGCATTAACCACAAAGCTATCCACATATTTTCTATTACAATGTTAGATTACAGTAAAAGTTTAATTCATTGCTGGATTGCGGACAATCGTGTGAACAGGAAATGTACTATAGTGCAATCGTACGGATGCTTTGATAACGAAAAGATAAAAATATACATAATTTGAATTGATTACACTGGGGAATAAGAAATTTCGTTCATGTTCAAGATCGGCTTCAAAGTACTCGAGGATCCTGCTTTCGCATTACATCGTCATTGTAGCTAAATTGGTTGTGATTTTCAAAATAATCGAAACTATCCTCTTCTCAAAACCCTCTTGTGAAATTTGTTTACTTTCGGATTAGTGATTTCCAAATTAAAGAATGGAATACGTGATTTTATTTCGCTTCAGAGGTGCAATT